GAAAATGGACAATTTGGGAAGAGGAGGCACGATTACTCGATGCTTGCACCTGGTTTTTATAATTGTTGGCCATCGGCAACTATAACAATGAGCAACGAGGCTCGAATAATCGCATCTCCTCCACATTGTCCATTTTTGTGTACAATCCGAGCGTCAATTAGGGAGACATTATTATACTTCGTAGTTTAGTAGAACAAATCACCATTACAGAATTATGTCAGCTTCGAATGGAAAGCAACACCCCGACGCAACCAAATGTCCTGATCCTCTTTCGGACACCTAATCGGTAGCGAGCAGATCAGCATATCCCTTTGCGAGGTCGCGTACACCGGGATATTAAGAATATCCTCTTCGAAATTCCGCAAATAATCACCCATCACGTTAGTACCCACTTTATCGTCGGCATAATTCTCCGGAAGAAATGCGATCTGACAACTGGGTGCCGCTGCGACCGACGCCGCGTTCGCATCTAGGTCCTTCAAGACGCCATCTTGTATCACCGCACCTGCGTTCACAAAATCAAAACAACATTCCATCTGTTATAACAATCGCTTGTGAATAGCTTACCGATGTCTATGCACACGAAATTTCATATACTAATTAGAAGACGCAGGAGCTCTATCTGTATCTGAAAAAAATATATCTTAGCTTCTCTCAATCTTTTCACTGTTTTCAGTTTCATCATACATTTCGTGCATTTTCGTCACAAATGCTTAAAATCCGCAGTCTAGTGATAACTTTTACGCGCATACACTTCGCGAGAAAATTATAGCACACTTTAAAATCCAGTGATTTTTACTTATTTGACATTACAACCAGTGTTTAGTTTTATACAAATCTGCAAAACACCACTGTAAACATACACAAATGAAATATTATTGAATTCCGCCAGTCCACGCAATTTTATTCGGAAAGAAAGAATTTTTATGGAAATATAGTGCGACGAAATGATAGCACATTTAATTAAACATTTTTTAAAATTTTAAAAATTTTTCGTACAGCAATAGCTGTGTTCTGTCGGTTTGTATGAGAACCAAACTTTGTTCGTAATGTTAAAGAAATAAAATCCGCGTAACTTTGAAGCATGCTATCTTCTTACCGCGGAGCGTACATGTTGGCTGTATAGAGCAAATTTTTGTATAACATTTGTACGTGTTTAATGGACGAAACTGTGTGTAGTGTATTTTAGCAAATTCTTGTATTTTGAATAATGCAAAATGTCTGTGATTTATGAATACGTTTCGCAAAAATTTTAATGGAATTATCAAGACATAATTGATAATTGTTGCAAATTTTATCAAAGTTGCAATTTTTCAATGATTACTATAATTGTCATACACAGTTGAAGAACTGAGATAAGACGTCGTCAAATAAAAGAGAATGAGATAACAAGATTCAACAAAGAATTTAACATCGAAACAATGTTTAAGAACCATGTTTTAACGTGTCCCACAAAATGAATTTCCTAAATATAGTTCCTATAACAACAGTTTTCGAATGCTGCTATACAATCTCAGAAAATTATACAAATTCAGAAGATCGATTCAGAAACGATTTGATCAAAATTGAACACTCAACAGCAAAGAAAGAAATCACAGAAAAGTTGTCGTGCACGAAGCTGCAAGTAAACGAAGAATTATTGCGGTCAATGTATTAGCAAATCTGGCATAAAAATCGTTTTTCCCGCGAATATTGGTGGAACACTCGACTCTAATTCGGTCTGCATAGATCGCGTACTCCAGGCCGTAAAACGAAACGATGTTTTTCCCCTCTTTTCGAGAAGCGGTTATCCGATTTCAAGCGGGTCGCGAATTTTTCGTTGGCATAGCAGTTCGTAGAATTTGTCCCGGCCGCAATGTATAATATGCAGATTCGTTTCCGACCGTTTTTCCTGAGACGTGAAGAGGTGTTCCGATGTTTTTCTTTCTTCTTCTTCTTTTTTTTTTTAATGAGTTTTTAACGACGCTCGTCAGTTTATAATTCCTCCATGTATTTTCCATCCGTCGTCCGCCGGACGGTTGTTCGTCGCGAGACGTTTTAATCGTTGCAGAGTAAAATATACGATGCGAAAGCGTAGAAAAGATCATACGATGCTTCGTAATCGGGACCGCGCGTGTACGGACTTTAATCTGTTTCGTCGTCCCGACGAATCGTCCAGAATCGCTCGCCGCGATTTCTATTCTACAAACTTCGCTCGTTGGAGTGATTAAAATCGTTCCGCAAAAGTGCTTTCAATTTGTGCGAAACGGGTTGGTTTCTGCTGTTTCAAGGACAATCTCGAATCGCTTGAACACGATCGAACAGAGATGCAGCGGCGTGCATAATTATAGACGCGAAGTAACTTTTACATTTTTACACGTTTACGTGTTCTCGGTTTTCGTTTCAATAACAGTATAAATGTAAAAGCATTCTATATTATAAATACATAAATATTTTTTCTTTTTGGTTTTCGTTTACATATTAGTATAAATGTAAAAGTATTCTACATTATAAATACACAGTATTGTTTCTTTTTTGTTTTCGTTTAGATATCAATATAAATGTAAAAGTTTTCTATATTATAAATACACAAATATTGTTTCTTTTTGGTTTTCGTTTACATATCAGTATAAATATAAAAGTATTCTATATTATAAATACACAAATATTGTTTCTTTTTGGTTTTCGTTTACATATCAGTATAAATATAAAAGTATTCTATATTATAAATACACAAATATTGTTTCTTTTTTGTTTTCGTTTCAATATCAGTATAAATGTAAAAGTATTCTACATTATAAATACACAAATATTGTTTCTTTTTTGTTTTCGTTTACATATCGGTACAAATGTAAAAGTATTCTACATTATAAATACACAAATATCGTTTCTTTTTTGTTTCCGTTTACATATCGGTAAAAATGTGAAAGTCGCTTAAGATTTATAACTATTCACAGCGCTGTATTTAGCATTATAAAACAGAGATAGAATGACGAACGAGGGTTACTAAAATGCGCGAAATCATTCCTAATCACGATAGCCAGATCTTCTTTAACCTGAACCATTGCTTGCGAAAAGAGGAGAAATCGCGATCCAATAAATTTCGTCCAATATACTATTCGCGAAATAGCCAGATCTTTCTGCGAGAATGGGATCTCCAGTTCCGAGGGATCGCGAGATCCTGAGATTTTCAAGGATCAATTTCTCCTTCCTCGAAGAGATTTCGCAGACCGTAGAACGACGGGCGATAAATTTCGCAATAAAACGCGTCGGGCGAGTGAAGAGTGCTTTACAATTCCCCGCGTCTCTGCAGCAGGACATGCACAGAGAGCATTCCGAATACCGAATTTCCAACCGCGTAACTTCCTCGGCTACACGATTATTCAATTTCACCGTGTTCCAGCATCCAATTTTATCGCCGTCAGCCGCCGCGCGGCCCCCTTGAATTATGAATCGCCGCGATGAATTTAGAGCGAGAAACGCCGGCGAAGTGCGCACGCGATACAAACGCCGGGTCTAAAGTTAACCGATCGCCGGGAAACACTTGTATCATTCACAGAGAGTCCGTTGCTCGGCCGAATTGTTTATTTAGCGAAACCGAGACAGTTCTGTGCCGGGGGCGCATGCAGAACGACGGTGCGCCGCGGGCGAACTACGGCGAGAATAGAGGGGAAAAAATACACTTTGTATCGCCATTAGAAACGAATCAGGCATTATGCATTCCGTTTAATGGATTAATGGACGCGTAATTGGAAACACTAATCCTTAGTAAAAGGTACATTAATCCGTGGGGAAGCGGGACGTGCGTTTTAGACCGGGGTTGCCGGGAATTCGTAGGCGAATTCGATGTTACATAGTTCCACTGGTTAGTATGCAATTTCCTGCTTTTAACGTTGTTACTGCGGTGGCGCGTTGCGTTTGATACGTTTTCGGGTAATTCCGATCGTGGGAAACTGTAAGAAGGTGACTTGACTGTCGTAAACACGGAAACGCGAAATGGAGAACGGTGGTTTCAATGAGATGGCCGACGATTTATGCTCCGTCCTCGAAAGTGCCGCAGAAATTGAACCAACAAACGTAATTCCGTTTTACAAAGTAAACTAATTAGTAATGTGTCTTTCTCGTTCGTGTATTTAGATCGAACGATCTATTGGGTGGACCGAGGGTTTTACGCATTCGCTGTGAAAATATCGATGCACTACTTGCAGCTTAATAAAACGGTGCTTTTACACGCGTAGAATCTCTAACGCGATTTTTTGCATGTCGGGTACATAGCATCGAATTTATTTGACGAGCGTCACTGTTTGAAACTGTAACACACAGCGTGATACATAGATCGCGGATTTTATGTATTTATGGCAAAATTGAGTAATTGCAAATTCAAATAGAGTAGACAGGTTTTCGAGAATTTGGAAGTGCCAGCATGATTTCTTTTCGTTTCTTAACCCTTTGCACTCGGGTGGTGACTCTGAGGCACCACTAAAATTATTAGTTCACGTTCCAAGATAATTTCATTATTAACAAAGTTTAAATTTAAAAAATCGTTGAAAGCGTAACTGTTATCACAAATCGTCGCAAGACTCAATTTCGTATGCATAAAATGCGCTTCGTCGTGTAAAATCGAAATACCATAAGTCAGAAAAATTATTCTACATTTACGGTTAAAATGGCTCCAAATGCAAAGGGTTAAAATGATCGCGGAAAGGAAGACCTTGCTATTAAGTTTCCGTTTCTCGCAGATTGATGCCGAACATTCTTACTTCGCGTAACAATCCGCGGTCTAGTTATCCAGCAGACGTTTTAGTACATCGCCGGATCGGAGAAGCGTGAAAGAAGGGAAAGAAAACGGTTGTCGTCTCATCGTCTCGCATCGCGCAAAAATCATCCTACCTGTTACAAGTCATGCCACTAATCACCGATCGTACTAACAAACCGTCAATTTTTCTGTGCAGAAACACGGGCCCCGGATGAAGTGCGCAGCCTGCCGCGTGGTGGCCCACGCGCTCTGCGCGATGAACTTGAACTTCCCGTGCAAGTCCAGCTTCCGAGACGTGGGTGTCCGGCAGTATCGCGAGCAAACGAACACGCAGCACCACTGGGTCCACCGTCGGTCCCAGAAAGGCAAGTGCTCGAACTGCGGCAAGTCGTTCCAGTCGAAACTGAGCTTCTCCTCGAAGGAGATCGTCGCGGTGAGCTGCAGCTGGTGCAAGATCGCGTACCACAACAAGGAGGCCTGCTTCAGCGTGCAGAAAGTTGGGGAGAATTGCGAGCTCGGTGGGCACGCGTCGATCATCGTGCCTCCGTCCTGGATCGTGAAACTGCCGAGGAAAGGCAGCTTCAAGAGCAGCTTGAGAAAATCGCCGAGGAAGAAGAAGTCGGGCGAAAGTCGACGAAAGTCGAAGGAGAAAGACAAGGACAAGGAGCAGGACAAGGACAAGGATAAGGACAAGGACCAGGGCAGGCTCTGGGTGGTTAAACCGATCCCGTCGGCTATCGTCAAGCCGGTGTTGGTCTTCATCAACCCGAAGTCCGGGGGCAATCAGGGTGCCAAGCTGCTGCAGAAGTTCCAGTGGATTCTCAACCCCAGACAGGTCTTTGATCTGACGCAGGGTGGGCCCAGGATGGGGTGAGTTTGCGTCTGCGATGGGTGACATCGCGCTGATGGCTGGCACAGGGATGCTATGCTGTCTGCCAAGGGGGACAGGGAACGAGGAATTTCGTGCTTCATTGTGAAACTGGATTTTCGCGTCGGTGGCTTCGCAAGAATTTTTGTTTGAAAGCGCAGGGGTAGTGGATTATTGTGGAGTGACCAATTACTGTGCCTTTGGTTTGTTTTCGGGCATAATTAACTTTATATTTATCGTCTAAAACGTAGTAAAATTTTAATTAAAAAAGCAAGCCATATAAAATGAAGGCAAGATATGTAATATGCTTGTTCGATAAATAGAAAGCTAATTATGCCCGAAAATAAGCCAGAGACACGGTAATTGATCTCCCCACAGTAACCGGCTCTACAATCTAATAATGAGGATTGATTGCTAGGCTGTAAATCTTTCTGCAACATGGAAGCAATGAATGCGATAATACTCATTTTTGTCGTAAATAAAACAATTGGTAAAATCAACGGTCTAACAATAATAAGTAAACAACTTTCGAGATATTCTCGCGAATGTTCATGAATAGATCTCTGGATCTTCGTGGAGAATGAAAAGAACATCTGCATTCAGTTGCATTCGAACTGCATTCGAACACAGTATTCTTAAATTTGCTTGATCTTTTAGCTGTTCGATAATTCATCAATCTTTACCACAAAGTAAAGATTAATCTGGTTTATTTCTTTGTGTAACAATGGAACCGAAGTTTCAAGAGATTAGAATTACCGTTTCAATTCAATAAACCTAGCATATTTAATGGAGAAAATTCCACACGCATCAATGAGGAAAACGACCCCGCTTGGAGAAAAGTTGATTATTGATATTGATTGCATTCAGTCGCATTCGAACTGCATTCGAACACAGTGTTCTTAAATTTGCTTGATCTTTTAGCTATTCGATAATTCATCAATCTTTACCATAAAGTCTGGTCTATTTCTTTGTGTAACAATGAAACTCAAGTTTCAAGAGATTAGAATTGCCGTTTGAATTCAAGTCCTAGCATATTTAATCGAGAAAATTCCACACGCATCTCAATAAGGAAAACGACCCCGCTTGGAGAAAAGTTGATTATCTAAATACTTGTCGAACACAATCGTCTCCACGGCGTTAATGGAACGATGAATGATGTATCAAGGAATTTCGAGCGGCACTTTTAAATTTAGCGGTTCGAAGTTTCAACGGGGAATTAGGTTAATTGAATGGAAATTGAGTTGAAAATGAATTGGCTGAATGGATTAGGTGAATGGTGGGGGCCGGGATATTGGAAAATATGATAAATGAACAAGAGGTTTAATTAAAGTTCCACCGGAGGCTGGCTCGCAGCCAGGAAGTAGATGAATAAAGGTGAACAGTTGTCGCTATGGGCATTATCGGAACTTTCTCGAGAAGTTCATTCGGAAGTTCGGCCGTTTCGGTCGGCTGCATTTATGGCCACGTAGGACAAACGTTCATGAATGTTATAACAGTCGATTAAACGTTCATTAGCGTCGCTAGTTTCGAAATAAACAACGTTCGACTTTTCATCCTGGAAAGAGGGGACAGAACTTTCAATTTTCTGTAGACTTTGCTACACGAACGAGAACTTTCGAAGAGAACACAAATATTGTGATAGCTATGTTGTCGTTGCGCGGCTAGCACTGGTTACGCTGTAATTACTATGCAAACATCAGTCTTTAATTATTCCTGCTTGTTATACGCTTTAAAGGCAACCGAGAACTTCAGAAATACAAACATTATAATTCACAGTAACCTGACATTTGGCAATTCCAGGAAGAACTACTATACTTAGAGGATTTCATGCATTCATGACAGGAATGAGTTGCTCGTGTGCAAGACGTTTAAAAAATCTTAAAATACTATTGCATTATATTTAATTCATTAGAACGGTTAAGAAAAGATCCTTCTGCTTCAGTGTTACAACATAAAAATTATACAGAGTGTCCCAAAATTATGGTATTTCCGGGAATTAGAGATTACTGACGTCGTTCGAAGCAACTTTTTCCTTTACAAAAATTTGCTCCGAGGCATCGTTAACGAATTATTAACGAAAAAACACTGACCAATGAGAGGCGAGCTTGGATGGCGCGAGGCGGCCCAGCCAACCAGCGCACGAAGCCCAGTTCCGCTCGTTGACTCGGCCGCCTAGCGCCAGGCGAGCTCGTCTCTCATTGGTCACTGTTTTTCGTTAATAACTCGTAAACGATGCCTCGAAGAAAATTGTTGTAAAGGAAAAAGTTACATCAAATCACCTCAGGAAACTCCTCATCTCCCGCAAATACCATAATTTTGGGACACCCTGTATATCGTTAAATTCCTACAGACCCTCAAATTGCAGTATAAAAATAATCGCTGTCTAATAATAATCGACAAGAAAGTCCCTAAAATACAGTTAACAATATCATCGGGTACTCCAGTCCGGATACTTGTGGACACAGATAACATTCGTTTGAAATGATTTGCAGGCTCGAGCTGTTCAAGAAAGTTCCTAATCTCCGAGTGCTGGCATGCGGGGGTGACGGTACCGTCGGCTGGGTGCTATCAGTCCTGGACCAAATCGGTTGTTCTCCACCGCCGGCGGTCGGAACTCTTCCTCTGGGTACCGGAAACGATCTGGCAAGGGCTCTCGGTTGGGGCGGCGGTTACACGGACGAACCGATCGGTAAAATTCTGATGAACATCAGCGAGAGCGAGGCGATACTGCTGGACAGATGGGAGCTGATCGTCGAGAGGAATCAGGACGCCCAGGGCGACGACGACAACGGCAAGGGCAAAGAGAATCTGCCTCTGAACGTCGTCAATAATTACTTCTCCCTTGGCGTGGATGCTCACATCGCCCTCGAATTTCACGAGGCACGAGGTTGGTGTCGGTGTCTCGGCCACCACCACGCCGCAGACCCAACATACCCTATTCCCTTGACAGTTACCGGTGTCTCACGGTCCCGCGAACTCCTTTAAATTAATCTGTAAATAATGCAAAGACAAGCCGTGACTGCGGTCGAAGGGAAACTCGGTTTTACTGCGACGAGGTCATGCTCCGTAGAACTTTCCTGTCGAATTATTTATGACCGGGAAATTGTTTCCCCGGGACTAATCGCCGCGAAATTGATGCGTTCTCATGCGATTTTGGTCGACTTGTCTAGCTACCGATGCCTCGAGGCTCCTCTGTAACAGTTTTGTTTTATCATGCTTTCACAGTTGAGCAGCAACGATTTATTCGAACGATGGTCGAAAGATAAAGACGAATGTATCGAATTTTACTCGACATTATCGAATAAAGATTTGTCTAGATAACAAAATTTATTCGTACACAAGGTTTTGTTCGAATAAGAATTCATTCGCACTTGTTTCTTCCATATTCCTTTCTTCAAATGTTGCATCGAAAAGCTTGTTACTTTCGTGTAGTTTGATCATTGATACATAACTAAGTAATGTTTCTACGAGTGCAGAGGAAGGCATCGTCGATTTTATAATTCTAAAAGTACTTGAAATTGAATTCGTATAAATATATTCTTATAAAATTACGTTAAGAAAAGTTCAACAATTAATCGCATTATTGGTTGATTAATTTTACAATCAGTATTACGAACAACTTGTTCGAATAAATGGATAGAATAATTTATAACGAATAGTTATAATAAAATGTTCGACTAAAACGAATCCATTCGGATGATTATCTCAGATAAATAACCCATTAATTTTCACTACAGTTTATTAACGCTAGTCCTAAACCCGATTAATGTACATTAGATTATGGCAATTACAAGATTAGATTTACGTTAGCTTTTTACGATTTCTATTATTATACATATATGTTTCAACCAAGAAGTTTATCGAAATATTTCTCACAGGAATATTCTTCTAATACCAATAACTGTTAAAGAAAAATTCAGAGACCATTCCAATTTGACTTGTTTCGACAGTTCTAGCGTTGAACCCATTAATCTTCACAGTAGTTCACTTTGATCTCAACGACACGTGCCAGCATGAAAATAAATAGATAAATTGCAATTTCAACAGAGAGATGTGTGCAAAGAGTAAAACGTTCTGAAACTAGAAATGGGAATTCGACTGATTACAGAGGCGCATCCGGAGAAGTTCAACTCGCGGATACGGAACAAGATGTATTACGGTCAAATGGGCGGCAAGGATCTCGTGTTACGGAAATGGAAGGACCTCTCGGAGTACGTGACGCTGGACTGCGACGGACAGGATCTGACACCGAAATTGAAGGAGCACCGTGTGCATGCCATTGTGTTCCTGAACATCGCCTCTTATGGTGGCGGGACGCATCCCTGGGGTGCTGCCAGTGGAACCAAGGAGCCATCCACCGAGGATGGCATGTTCGAGGTGGTCGGCTTGACGACCTATCAGTTGCCGCTACTTCAGGCAGGAGGACACGGCACCTGCATAGCGCAATGCAGCCAGGCCAAGCTTGTTACAACCAAAACCATTCCAATGCAGGTCGGTACCTCCTGCTTCGGAATTCTTATTCTTCTTCGAGAATTCTTATTCTTCTCAGGGATTCCTATTATTCTTCGAAGTTCCTGTTTATCTTCAAGGTTCCTGTTTGTCTTCAAGATTCTTACCTGTTTTCAAGGTTCCTATTCATCTTCAAGGTTCCTGTTTGTCTCCAGAATTCTTATTGTTTTTCAGGATTCTTATCTTTCTTCTTCTTATCCTATTCGGATTCTTATCCTATTCTTCTTCAAGTTTCTTATCTTTCTTCGAGATTCCTATTCTTTTTTAAAATTCCTATCCTATATTCCTTCTATATTTTATACTCTATATTCATAATTCCTATACTCTTTATACAGTGCGTCTGCCATTTGATACGTAATCAGAGTTATAACTTTCTAAATGCAGATCTTGAAAAGACAAGATGTCGTATGCTTTGACAATAATGGTGATGCAGTTGTAGTTTGCATAGTAGCATGCTGGGAACTCTTCTAAATAAGGTGACATAGCTTAACATTTAATTATTAATATGAAAAGATACGTAAACAATAATGAAAATGATATAGACGCCTAATGTTACAATTTTTGTTGTCAAAGATATACATATAAGTTTTTATTTCTTCTCAACTTCCAGAATTTATTTTGCTTCATCCGCATACGCTGTAATAACGATTCTGTAGACACTTCCAATTGCAATGCTATATCTGTTCACAGCATTATAAATATATAAATGTGCTAAATTTATAGAAGAACCTCGACTATAAGAATCAATCAAGAGAACCTGATCGCTTGGATGGTAGAGTAGTTGCTTAGGCCCAGTGCTAATTTGAATCCGCATTGATTTTCACAGTGGAACCTCGGTTATGGGAACTGGTTCAGAGAATATGAACTTTCAGATAATAGAGAAACTGCTTAATCACGGTGGTAAATTTAATTCCGATTGATTTTCATAAGAAATGGGGCGTTGCTTGCGAATCGATCGTGAGTAATCGAGGTTCTACTAAAACTTTTACTTGAAAATTAAGGATCTAATACCAAGAAAGGTGGCCAGATTTGTCTCTAATTATCGTCTACCTGTTATCGAAGTGGGAAGAAGGTGGAATTTATTAGGTAGTACCATCTGTCGCGACGAATCCATTAAGAATGAAAGACGACGACCATCGTTGCAGGTCGACGGCGAAGCCTGCCGGCTGCTGCCATCCACCATCACCATGAAGCTGTTGAACAAAGCGACGATGCTGGCGAAACGGCGAAACACTGGCAGGCCGCAGCAGGACGCCAAGCTCGAGAGATTAAAGTTGCCGGTGATGAAGATCAAGATGTCGGACTACGAGCGGTACCATCACGACAAGGACATGCTGAAGAACTCCGCAGCGACGTGGATCGTGGATCCGCTGGATCTAGACGCCACCACGGACCTCGAGTCCTTGAGAAAGATCCTGGCGAAGGATCATAACATGGACACTTGTTGCTTCCTCGACTGTGAGTGCAGAACACTTTTATTTCGAACTGTCGCGTTACACCGCGGACTTTATGAATTCATGACGCGCGCTAGCCGGCTTTAAAAAGCTAAGCGAACGTTCCTGCGGAACACCGGTGCCGCGAAATGGCGTCAGGAATGCCCTTGGATCAAATGAAGCACCTACTTCGGTCGCGGGACTTCTTACAAGGAAAAATCGTTTAGCAGCGCTTGGGGTGTTTCTTCCAGTACAAATTCTGCAGAAATCTGACATCTTGAGTACGTTACGTTACATGTTGAAGAACTTTTTCCTCGGAAAATTCTTCTGAAATCTTTTCCGAAGTCAGTTCTTGAAGTCATTAAAACAGAGATGTTCTTTAAAGAAATTCTTCCAGTTCTTTAAAGACACTGTTTCTCAAAACAGTACATATTAGTCTTTCGAATACAATTATATAATATAGTCAAATATAATAAAAAAGACTAATATATAACTGTCATTGTCTTGAGAAATAGCGCCTTAAAGAACTGGAAGAATTTCTTTAAGAGAAAAAAAGACATCTCCGTTTTATTTGCTTCAAGAACTGGCTAGAGAAACAGTTCCAAAGGAGTTTTTCTGCGAGATGCAAAATTGAAAAAAATTCTCTGGGATCGAAAGAAGCCATTTGTAGATTTGTCTTTAGTTTATAGCCTATATATTTATATATTTAGTTTATAGCCTATGTATATTTGCAGTTTACAGTTTATACCAAAAAGTTTACACATATTTTACTACGAATCTGTAAGAGAATGAAAACAATGAATTGATTCGTCCACTCGTCAAAAAGAAAAACCATTTAACCCCTTGACTATTTATCTCGAAATTATCAAAATAATGATCAAAATACATTTTTTGCACTATTTACTATTTACTAACATTGTTTATTAAATTATCAAGAGGCTAACAAATTACAACTTCTTCTCAACTTCTAGTCTTCACATATTCTCAAAGAATGATGTAGATGCAAATACATAAATGTTGATGAACGCGAAGGACATACTGTCTCATCATAAACCATTGTCACAGATACTAGAACAGATGGTTGGCACGGGGCTGTCAATTATTTAGCGAAACAAAAACACGGGAAATGCGGCTGGCACCGAACAATTTATCACCGCGTTTGCTGCACACGTTATGAATTCATAAAATCCAGAATACAGAATGCGGAAAATCGGATTGCCCGCGGTATTAGCAGCCCAAGGACGGAGCGGCAGGCCGTTATAAAAATGCTGCCGTAAATCTGTTCACAGCTTGCACCGCGGAGCGATTCTTCAGGGTCGACCGAGCTCAAGAGCAGCTGCATTACGTCACCGATGTCGCTGTGGAGGCGGTGTACGTCCTCGAGGAGAACGCAACCAATCAATCAACCGGCGAACAACCCGAACAGGGCAAGGTCTCCGCGGGCCAAGAACCCGAAACCTCGCCCAGGTACTCGATCCGTTGCACCGTATTTTCTCTATTTTTTTTGTCATTCACGCGTAGTTTCATCGTGACCGTCCTCAGTATATGCTGATCCAGTAACGAAGTGTATATTTTTCGTGCTCGTACCTGTAACGGTGTACCGATACTTGCGACCTGAATCACACAGAGTGGTCTGATTGCACTAATTCTTGAAAGTACAGTTTTGAACGATAATTCTCTCGATTGGGTACAATTTCTTTTAAGATTGTAGAATGGAGTTGAATCTAGTTTTTTTGGCACTAATATCCTGACTGCAATGATTATTTGATATCGTTGTGGTATTGTTTGTTACATTTTGGTTCTACTCCACTGCTCTGTGAAAGCAAAATAAATTAAATTGTATGCCTTGGCTTATTGCCTGTCAATTTTTAGTTGTATTGATAAGTATATTCGATAAACTCTACTCAAACTTAATAGAACCTTTGGAAACCTGTCTAAGATCTATTACAAATTATTTATTCACTGACAGATCACGAAAGCATGCCACCGGTCCATTAAGTATCGATACACCACTTGCCCGTTGAGCTTAACAACGCAATGTTGTTTGAAAATAATATTGTAACCTGGATGAACTAGTCTTCCAAATACAAAGTAGTGTATAAACTGTGTCGCACCGACGTATAAATTTGAGATAATAATTTGTGTTCGCGTTAATAGAAGTATTGCTTGAAATATGTCTTTGATTAACAAGTAATATGTGGGTTTACAATACTAATTTACCCAGCACAAGCTTAGAGGATACGACTAACGATATAACTGCCTAGCACAGTGCCTCAGTTCCTCCACTTCACACATTCGTCTGTGTCTCCATGATAATGTAATGGTAATGGAATCGTATCATTAGATTAATAGAAAGAACGTGTAATATAGCGAAGAACAACCAAAGAGAATCGCAGCCATGACAGAAGAGCCAACAAATGATAATGCAACGGTGGCCGAGGAAGAGCCGGAACAAGCTCAGCCGCAGGAACAGCCAAAGCCGCAGGAGCAGCCAAAGCAACCTCAACCACAGGAAGAGCCGAAACAACCTCAGCCACGGGAAGAACCGAAACAACCTCAGCCGCAGGAACAGTCGAAGGAGCCGCAGCCGCAGGAACAGTCGAAGCAACCGCAGCTGCAGCAACAGCAGACTTTGGAGGTGGAGAACGAACAACCACCTAAGATGTCGGATGAAACGAAGATGCAGTCCGATGACCAACGCTCCTCTAAAGAATTTGAAGGATCGATGAGCGAGCCGATGAACGACAGGAAAGAGGAGAAAGTAACCGGGGACTCCATGAAGCAAAGCAGTTCCTCGAAATCGATCTCGGCGACTGCTGCTGCACAGTCGCAACACCAGGCACCGCTCACTTTCATTAGGTACCTTTTTCCGGATCTATCCTTGATTTATATTAGCTAGCAGAAATACGTTTTCAAGTTGCACAAGCTTATCTTAACACTAAATCTACCATACCGGTCAAAATCGTCTGCTTCACATTGTTTATTTTTAAATTGTTTATTTTAAACAATTCTTAACAAACGATTGAATCAGTTCCATTATTCATGATTACTTTATAATAGAAATGACAAAAGATTTGAATAATTGCAGTCTCGTTGTACTTTTAAAGCAATACGCGTTTAGAACTCGGTAGGTTTAGTGTTAATGAAACTTACACCTTCATCCGTAAATGCAGGGCTCAGCAGACAATTAGTGTATATCCAATTTTAATAAGAAATTGAAGCCTTTAGAAGATAGAGCAATGTCTGATTTGTATTTTCTTACACCGATGTTTTTGTAGGATTGATTTTAAAAGACCTTTTTACCTCCGTCTTCACGCTCAGAAATTTACACTGATCGGCTGCCGAACTGTCCAAGCATCCGGATACTTAGGTGTTTGTAAATTTTGCATAAGTATGTACAAAGTTCAGTTGAACAATTAAGCAAATACGCAGTCCACTGCGTTCTCTGCTTCAGCAGAGAATAAACAGTGATTTATGCATAAGTTTATTTAGACTGAAATGTAAAGTAGTAAGTTTGGAGAGTACGTTGAATAAATAAGCATCAACAGTTTGTTAAATTAGATGCGAGAGTATGTTAAATAAAATTCGAGGGTTCGAGCTAACATTTTGGCAAGATGGAGGCAAGCAGAAGGAGTGTCGCGGTTCATGTATGGAATGGATATTGTAAATGACAATTTTTGTGTTCCAGTCCACGTGATAGGCTTTTCGGTCTAGGTTCCGAGGTTCACAGCTTCAGCACGGGATTGCTTGAGAAGACCAGCGACAGTATACTGAAAGCCGCGAAGATCGGTGATTTTGCCGCCTTGAAGGAACACCACGAGAAAGGGTACTCTCTCCTATCCATTGACGCCTCTGGACAGACTGCTCTTCATTTAGCTTCAAGGCATGGCCACAAGGATATCATCAGATATCTGATCGCTTGCGCTCCAGCGAGCATCCTCAACATGATTGACAACGACAAGTAAGTCCAACAGAATCTGAAGGGTTCTCGATAAACAATAAGCCTCGTCTCTATAAACAATAAGACTCGTCTCTATAAATGACACGTTTATTCTCTAGCCAATTTTTATCATAAATCTTCTTAGTCTAAAAACACTTTAAGATCATAATATTCTATAAAGTGATATCAGGTTTACACGATATTATTCAAAAAATCACTGGTAACTTCAAAAAGTCTTTGAAAGTGCAAAAAGATCGTTTGCGAAAAGCAACAGTTTGCCTTTCAGTATTTTCTCTTGCTTTTATTAACAAGTGTTATTGAAGACGATGATTCCCGCTTTTTCACTCACTAACTTTATTTTCCAATGTAAAAATTCTTTTCCCTTTCAAAGTTGAGATTAATAAGTCCATTAATGCCACGAAACGTGGACAAAGTTTATCGCAAGCCTCTGTTTGCAAGTTTCCCCGCGAGGAAGCTTGAATGTGGGTCGAAGGGCAGCCTATTTCCGGTACGTAAACAGGAATCGAATAAAAAGAGACTCCCTTTTTGTATTTTCTAATTCCAGAGGTCAGACCGCTCTGCACAAAGCGGCTCAATATAAGCGCCGTTCCATTTGCTGCATGTTGGTGGCGGGCGGCGCTACTTTAACCGTCAAGGATCGACAAGGCAACACGCCCCGTGATCTTGCTCTGCAAGCAGAGGACCGTGACCTCGCAGCGTATTTATTCAGTGAGTGGTTTTTCTACTCTTTCCTTTTTATTCCACCAGCGCCGACGATATTAAAGAAAAAATGCCATTCGCTCGCTGTTGCGAACACAGCAACCCCTTGAAAGGTTGCGATTTTAAAGAAAACTCTCGCGCGCGACATTCTGCCTCGATTCACATTCTACGTCACTGTGAAAAATTAATCCTCGAATGGCGGACATTTTGAACGATTTCATGGTGGACGCGTTGCATTCTTTAGCGATTTCATTGTTGCAAATATTTGCAAATACTTTCTTTAGCGAATTAAATCATACCTGAAACGGTTGAGTACTGGACTGATCCTTTGATAGAATAGGCTATAATAAGATCAATCTTGTTAAGTAGACACTTGTTAATAGATTCGTTGTTAATATTTGTACTCTTCCTTGAAATCTGCACCGATCTTTTTACCCGGTGAAGGTATCGAATACTTTTAATAAATTACTGTAGCAGAAATTTCAATAGGAACAGCAATTCGAATAATAAAGAAAGTAGAATATTTTAAATAGAATGTATAATCATGATAGGCTCAATTCCGCCATCCGAGGGTTAAAGGATCATATTTCGTCGATGAAAAATTGTCGACGCTCAATCGGCTATCGACTTTGTGCAAAAATTATCTCACAGTGCAATCCACCTTATACTCGCTTCGCATCTTCGGTTCATTTTCCTCAACGACTTTACATCACGCGCCGAATGGGAAAGCGAAGATACTTTACCCCTAAAAATATACTGTTCCCTATTTCAAAAGTTCGATCCGGAAAATTGAAAAATTCTATTTGCGAGCACGCTCGATTGAAACCACCGAGAAAGGCGTGCGATTGACAAAAGGGACAAAGTATCAAAGGACCTGCAGCTGAGAGCTGACAAGGTCGGACAAAGTTCTTCGAAGCTCCCAGAGCAAAGCACCCGCTGCGACCAAAAAAAAAAAAGAAAATGAAAAAGCGTTTTCGGATCGTGCGTTTAATCCGCGCCGCTTCCGCTATTGTTACCCGTCCGTCGGATCGTTAAATCGACGTTGTTCGGTGATATAGGTCAAGAGCAGTTCCAGCTGACAACGGAAGAAATGGAGAACTCCCTCTGACCTACGGCCGTAATTGGCAGGGCCTGAGCGAACCCTGGTTGAACCCTGCCGACACACGGCGCGACGACGCGACGGGATGCGTGGGAGAAGAGATCCTAGATCGAGATCCTAGACCAAGCCGGTGATAGTCGTCGATCATCCAGTAAGCCTCGTGATCGAGAGACCGCGATCGCATCTGTCGATCGTATCAGCGGACTCATTTGCCACGAGACTTCCCTCGTCGAGATCGATCGGTGTCAATGATCGACGTCTGCGGGGGCCACAATCTACGGTGTACAGAGTTCTCGAAGATCCACGAGAATCCGACGACTATAAAGCTGAAGAATCTATGAGCCTGGTTCCAAAAACGAAGCTCGCAGCATCGAAGATCTGAGGAAGGGAGGATCTAGAGAGAGAGAGAGAGAGAGAGAGAGAGAGAGACGTTTGCTCATTCGCGATCTCGGTCGCGCCGTATTCCCGCGTGCTGAGGACGAAGGCGATCCTAACCGAATTAGTGAGACATTAAGATTAGGGGATCGGATAGTCGGGATAAATTCAGTCGTTCGAGACTACCGTTCACGTGATTCGTTCGTGTAAGTTTTATTTTATATTTTTCTACGTTCCATTTCTAGGCGACCTAGCTGGTAGACAGAGAGAATGGGAGGGAGAGAATGGTTGACGATCGATTATGGTAGCCGATCTGTGCGCTTGAGGGGAGCCGTTAGCATTCAGAGAGTTGGACAGAGTTTTACCGTTTTTTGATTCCGATTATCGTTGCACCGTGGGTAGTATTGTCGTTGCATCTCCGTTAGGATCGGGAAAACGGTGCTGTGGACAGCGTTGCGGCACGGCTCGGATTAGTGCGACGGAATCGACACGCTAAACCGGGGAACCGGTTGTCGCTGTTGGGTTTCACTCGACACGTTGAGTGCCGGCCGATTTTTTAGCACAAGATTCGTTTGAATTCGATTACGTTAATGATTGACAACGCTTCTGCTGCAATTTTCAATCGGATTTCTAGCAATTTTAACCAAGGTGGTTCCAGTGATGATAATATCGATAATTTTTAGTGTCGTTTTCTCTGGAGCGTCCGCCGTCATTGTAATTCTCTTTGTCGATGCTGTTGGCAGTCAACGTGTCAGGAAAGGGCGGTAAAAGGAAACGTTCGGTTGGGGGAAAAATGCGAGACCGCTCTGATCCGAGGATCTCGGACGTTCCACTGATCCGTGAATTTTCAATTCGACTAATTAATCATCGAAGTGGCTTCAAGAGCTGTTCGAGCGCCCGATACGTCGGTGACAGAGCGAACCAATATTTAAATAATTATTGATACGGTTATTGATAATTATTCGTTGAACATCTATCCGACTCTGCTGGCATCCAAGTATGTATTTCTATTCTGTGCCCCATCCCCTTCGCCCCCGTTGAATTTTGCCCGCTTGTTCTCTAGAGTATATCTCATCGCGTCGGATACATATCTTTTTCTATAAGTGTCGCGTTGCATATACATATATAAATAATATATATATAAATATAAATATATATTATACATATACATATATTTTCTACGTACGTTAATACTGATATATATTTATTGTATGTAAGGCGCAGATGTTTCTTCATGATAACTATTTTTTCTTGTCCGCGAGGACCCGTCGAGACTCCATCACACTGCTTGGACTATTTTACACAGACGTCCTATTCATGTATAGGGTGTTCCGCAAAAAGGGTTCAAGAAACGGGGGATTTTAAGGAAAGGTCGACAATAAGTGGAAACGCAGCGGGATTGTCTGATTGATTTGCCAACTGGGCGATTTTTCTGTTGCATGATCAAGAAGATCGATGTAATCAAAATGTACACTGTGGCCAAAATGTGCGCGGACTTGTTCTCAATTGCAATTACAATTTCCACGGATTTTATGCATTCGATCTATCAAATATATATCAAATATTATATATCATCGATAATAACGAAAAGTTTTAAACTATATTATATATCGTTTGAATCAACGCCAATGCAGTCGTTGCACTGGCGAACCTAACGCGTACACTCGTCTTGCCCGGTTAGCAAACCAATTTTTTAATGGAAGAATTACGACAAAGTAAAAATAACCATTGATAACTATAGGTATAGTATGTGTTCTTTAGCGGAAGGCTACTTCCCGTCGAAGTAACGAGTACGTATAAATGATACAAATTCAGATACTTAGATGAGATTATCTCCGATCCAAATACATTGTCTCGATTTCTAATACAATGAATCCTAGCATTCGCTGAAGATTTTACTTTGGAAATAAATTTTAAATAAACGCTCCAAAAAAAAAGAAGAAGAAGACATCGATCATTAATTCTCTATTATAATACGTAGTCCGAGTGTCGTAAATTTTCACTCTCTCTCTTCGCATAGAGAATTATATTAACGTTTCTCTAGGCTGTAAATTCTTTCGGAACACCCTGTATGCTAACCGACAGTAAAGAAACCACTGAATTCTAGCAACAGATCTCGAAACTAACGAAATTCAGGAGATCGGTGTATCCGTTTGCCCTTGAACAGCGGTGCCCGGGTCTGTTCCGACCCGGCGTTGCTAAAACCGTGATACAACGACTCAGCTTTCGAAAAATAATTACATTGGCAGCTGTTTAATTAAACGGAGTGTGATTGGTGGGTGCTGGAGGTGCTTAAGTCAGATTCGAGGAATATGGTCGAGAGGAATTAACAGGAAGGGATTTTATAACGTACCTAATTATCGCTGATTGCACAGTCGTTGAGAAGGTTCGCTCTCCAAGGGTTAAACTCGAGGATCTATAGAATCGGCGCGCAGCGACGATCGATCACGCCAATCCACGCGGTCGTTCGCAACGATCGACGAGTCGCTTTTGCGAAAGACAGCATCAGCTCAAGCGGAATTGTGCCAAAGCGGGATCTCTATGGCTCGACGATTATGGTTTGGCAAACAAATCATTTGAATATTGAATGCATAGATGCATCGTGAGATTCTCAGGTCGTGAACACTGCACATAAGTGCAGCGCACATTGCACGATAGGACTTTGAACGCTGACGTTGCGATCACTTTTCGAATTGTTCACGAATCTTCGCGAAACTCTCGCGTTCTTAATCGAGTCCGTTTTTAAAGAAGAACTTAATTCATCGCTGATACATATATATTTGCAGATGTATTTTAATATAAAATTGGATACACCAACCGTTTGCAAAATCGCAATTTCAGTGTGTCGAACACTCGATCAACAAGATAATCAACGTCCAATGTGCAATGCCTTCAATATTATCGATGCTGTGACAAAAATTCGATACAATCATTCCGATCAAGTGAAAAAACAATTCGGCCGTCCGGGTTTCTAATTCATCAAAGTCCGAAATAAGAGTTCCGCGAACCTGATCGTCCAGCCGATCGCTCCGCGCCGGTTCGACGATTTCACCATTCGATTTCGAAGGCGGCGGACTCGAGACACTGAAAACACCCAAGCAGCCATGTTCATCTCGTAGCCACGTCAGCTCATTTAGCCGTTAATCAATTGAGATCGATGAGGACGAGATAAACGAGTGCGGGGTTCGCGCGTGAAAGAGCGCGAAGGTGAAAAAGGGAGAGAGAGAGAAAGTGAGAGTGAACAAAAATGAAAAGCGGCGTGTGAAAGAGAAACGAGAACAGGGAGGAGGAAACGGAAAAACGAGAGAGAAAGTGAGAATGAGAGAGAGAGAGAGAGAGAGAGAGAGAGAAAGAGAGAGTGAGAGAGAAAGAGAATTATCTTACTCGGTACCAAAATAAAAAAGGGGATCAACGTACGAACACCAATTAGTTCTTAAACGACGGTCTATCGTCACTATTATTATTATTATTATACTGTTAACGCTAGACTACTCTAATTTTACTCTCGAATTATTATATTATATGACGTATGTATAGTAATCCTTTCTGAGCATTCGTCCTACGGACTCGACAACTATGCCGCGCCGGTGCGTTGCCATACACGTACGAACATTTGCGAACACCTGCGAGGTGAGTTTCTCATCGGCAGACACGCGCCGATGCGATTCGATCGATCGCTCGATTCGATTCTCTACCGGTGTAAATATTTTCGACAAGGATTATAACGCTAAACGAAAAACCTCTTCGTTTTTCTCGAAACGTTTTATATCGCTGCGAGACTGTCCTCTCTAATTGCCGAGGGATCATCATAGTACAATGGTGGTCAAAAGAAAGCGTGATATATCATCCGTGCGATTTTATTCGATCGCGATCTACGATGTATTTAAGGAGATGATGTTGTATTTAAGACCTTTATGAGCACGATGATATTGTTATGTTATATATGTATGGAATTACATATATATATATAATAGTATTTATTTCTAAGAATGTTGTCGCTGTCTTTTTTCTATAAAAAAACGCGGAGACCACGATTAATTGAAAGTTACTATTCACCCTATTTTTCTCGAATAAATCGATCGAACGAGAGAGTTTGTTGTTTTCCATATGGATTGTCTTCGCAATAAAACGCCACTTAGAAACATTACTCTGCGCGAATTATGCTTCCCTTCACCACCAGATTACCGTCTCCAGAGTTTCTTTCCACCACCACTGTATCGTACACCGTTTTCCCCACCATCAAACAATAATCGTGGAGATTGTAGGAACGTATTTTGTGGCAACGTATCGAAGCCTTGCAATTAAAAAATAAAGATTTCATTCGATTCACATTCGATGGACAACAAAGTAATGTACCGTATGGAACATTTTTCTAGAAGAATTTTAGAATTGCTTACTTTTACAATTGAGAATCTCTTTGGCGTAACAAAAATATTCGAAACTGTACAAAAAGATTATGCGATAATTTGCGTTTCTGAGTATATTGTTTGAACATTTTTGTGATTGTTCGAACATTTTCAGTTTCCAAAGACAGGTAGTGCTATTTTGTATCTCTTTTCTTAAATTTATGTACGAAAATCGAAGGGCACGGCTTCGTTATGTTCCCATAATCGTCTCCAATGACCTTGTGAAGCTAATTTTAAATGAAATTACGTAATTACCGTATCGTCTGTAGAAAGTACAGTGTCACGTAAGTTTAACGAGTGAATCGACAGAAAATTCGGAACGATCGAATCGAGGGGATCGATGAGTTTCCATGAAATTATGGCGCGTGTCCCCTCCCCCGTGTGTCTCTTAATCCTCTGTAATTACTGATACTTGTAAGGATCGTTAGGCGGATAGAGAGGTTTAGCGGCCGAGTAACCGTGCGTATTATATGTATTATTATAACTTATAAAATAGCTATATCCGTAGAGTATCGGCAATCAACTAACTATGAAGAAGATGATGCTGCTGCTGCATGATGATGATGATGATGATGATGATGACGAAGAAGAGAAACGACTTAGAGATGCCTTCGAGTGTAAGATACGTTGTTCTGATTATTTTTTATATGTAGAAATATTAATCGTAATGCCCCTGCGATTTCCCCGAGAGCTTGCGACACATTCGACGAGCCCTTTGTATTATTCTACATTGTGCGTCCTTGTTTGACGCGTCGACTGCCTAATCGCGACGATAAATTATCTCGAAAAAATTGTATCGTGAGCAGAGTCTGTTGTCGACTGTTGAAAATTGGCGGATCTTCGTGAATTCATTTGAAACGATCGATTGGATCGATGTTGTTGAAAATTGTGGGTATATTTTACTAGAATATTAGGCTAATTGAACGAATTTCATTCTGATCGAATAGAGCAATGGATAAACGTGGATTACTTGAATTATTTTGGATAATTGATACGTTATGGGTGTAGGCTCATGCTTTGTATAATATGTTAGCCTAGCATGATTGCTCTAATTGTACGACCTGTCCACAATTATCGCCTAGAACCACAACAATGAACGTGACCATAGTCGTGTCCTTGTCACCTAATCAATGGTAAATTAACAGAAATCAGCTCGCCGAATGTTCTGTTGCGTGAAGCAAACGATCGGTAAATTTTTTGGCAAACAGATCAATCACTGATAAATGACTTCGAGATGGCAGTCGACGTGTCGACGAATCGTGACGATCTTAGAGACAGAAGAATAGAGAAACGGGAACATTCAGGACTGGATTTAGAAACCCGCATTCACGACGCGGAAACAGAAACGTGTGACACTTGGGAATTCTTTCCGCGCCAAATCGTCCCAATCACTCGCCTTCGTTCATCGTAAGAAGTTTTCGAAAATTCTTGCATGCAGAAACTTTCTTATTTCGTACATTTAAAATTTGTATGTTCAAAATAAAATAGCACGTTAGCGTATAGTAGCGTAATTCCAAGAAAGATGTTTCTCTCGCCTACTGACACAGCTGAAATATTGTAAAATTCGCTGGATTGAAATTCTATATCAGTCAATAATAACAATAATAATATTCTTCTTATTACAAATTTACAATCTTCCGTGGGGCCAACGACTTCGCTCCTCCTAATAAACGATAAAACGATTCAAGCTCGGAGCGATTTCAATGCGATCCCGAAGCTCTGGAATCGATTACGCTTACAAACTTCGTGCGAGCGAAGAAACTCGCGCGGTTTCCAAGTGTTCCACCGTTTCCGCGTCGAAACGCCGTTCGCGCGCGTTCTCTTACCTCGAGCACCAAGCCTGTTCCTCGAAAATTCCATCGAGCGACCCTAAAAGAAAGTTTCGTCGTCGCTTGGAGACTTCAACGCATGGTCGACCTTCAAACACGCGACTTTCAGAAACTCGGATCTTCGGAAACGTCGCGCATTCCTCCAGCGAGATTTTTCATTCGACCTACGCGCACTCTTCGAGTCGACTGACCTGCAGCGAACCGTCGCTTTAACCTGCAACTTGTCAGAAATTGATTCAACGTATCACATTACCACCGGTGATGAAATTAAATTTTTCTCGAAAATCGAATGTTGAAACTGTGACTCGATTCGATCCTCGGAATGTCCAAATTTCCTGAACTGTGCGCGAACGGTTGAACACGACGCGAGGATTGCCCCGCGCGATGAGTATATTTTTCTGGAACCTAAATTGTGATCGGATGACAAATTGTGCCGGGAATGGCTCGCGTATCTTCTCTATTCTTCCGCGTCCTCTCGGACCAGCCGAATGTGCGAGAGCAACGGGACGCGACCGAAATGGAGACTCCCTTTTCAACTTTCTAGGGTTAATCTTAGCTTTTAACCTTCGTCGAGATTCAATAATGGACGCGACCCTTGTTCTCCCTTTTTCATGCGCCCCTCTCCCCCGACTTGCCTTCCCCCTTCGTTTCTTTTTCTCTTTTTTAGGTCGATCGATCGGTAAACGATCGTTCCATTGTGACCTCGCGGCACAGTGTCTCATAGATATTCGTGTGTTAAGCACACTGGAGACTAATATTGGATCGCTGTCGAGTTTAAACTTCGACGGGCGAGTTCTGCTAGCCGAGTGGCTCGCATCGATACGGAAACGTTTGCGATAGAAATCCATCGGACAACGTCGAGGATAATTAGAGGGGAAAAGATCGAGTTCGAAATCTATCTCGATCGATGCGAATTTTGAAACGGGACAACGATCTTCTGTCTCGATTTGTAACGTTCTCCGTTCGCGTGAAACAGAAGCTGAACGAACCGTTTCTTGAACAGTCGCGTAATTGTTGTTTTTATATTCTACTTCGACAGTGTGAATGTTTTCGTGAAACGAATTCGTGCTCGCTTTGCAATCAAAATTGGTCACACAGCGGAGAGGTTCAGCTAACAGTGCTCGTAGAAAAAACGTAGAAAATACAGCAAGTACCTTTTCATTCGCGCCGGTGAGAAGTCGGCGTTTATACTCGGCCTTTGTTCTTTCGAAGTTTCATAATACCATTAGAAGTACAATAGTTCGCAGGAAAGTAATTGGAAGGACAATATTAACGAAGAGCTCTGGGGTGAATTGAAAAGTTTGTACAATTTCTGCCGGCCGTGTTGAACGATCGAGCGATTGTTTTAGACGATCGATCGTACGAGTTTCAAATCGCTTTACCGCGGAGAAGTATGGAAATATGCGATCGATTAATTAAAAGTACAATTTTATGAGCTCGACTAAAGAATATTGAGAAGTTTTAGATTCGAGCATCATCTCCTGGCGGCCATTTTGATGAAGCGATACTCTTCACCGAGGAGCTGATATATCGCCGAAATTTTGGACAAAAACTGTGCAAATGTTGGATTCCGTTTCTAGAGAATTATGAACGAACGAATGCCAAAATCATCAGAAAGAGAACTTCTTCGAGACATTGCGCCGCGAGGACCGAAAATCGATATCCTCAATTACCGCACCGATTAATTACCACTGCACCCCCGCGTTGTGCTCTGACAACGGTGTAACATACAAATACTATTGTATATACGTGAACGCCGGATACATACATTATATTACTAGACTTATCGAATTTTTCGAGTAACTAAGAGACAGAGAAACAAAAGAAGTAGAAACCAATGCCTTCAACGGTTCGCAAAACTGTATTAATTAAAGCATTCGAACCTCGAATTAAGGGAGAACTGGATGACGAAACGGAAGAAGGCGAACAAGCTGAAGGAGAGCTTCGAAGTCTGGTTCGTAGGTCTGCGTACGTTTCTTTCCATTAAAAAGAGAACTAAAGAATTTTCTCTTCGTCGTCGATTAGAACCGTGTGCCTAACACTCGGTTTTAGAATTAATCGTTAGAGGATAATTGAAGATCGAGTTTTAAGGGACGAGAGCGAACCAGTTCAGAGTCGTGTTTCCTCGAAGCGTTTCGAGCGTTTCTCGATCGACAACTCGATCCAACGATTATAAAACAAGAAAAAACAAACAACTACGCGTTAAATGACTAATTAACCGGCATGATCGATTTTCTCGTAAGATATATCCGAACGATCGCGCTTCTCATCCTGAGAGATTATTTTCTAGGCTCCTCTGTGAATACTTCAACTTCCGTCGCGACGGATCGTGATCTCGGTCGCGCGACGACTGTGACATGTTTGTAAAAAATAGCGGTTGTAAAATTACTATTACTGTTAGGGGAGATCGAACCGATGATTCGAGGGCAACGGGTCGCAAGGAGTAACCCATTCGTCAGTTCGTAGCTGGTCCTGCCAATATGAACGCGACGGGTCGGTTCGTCGGGCTTAGGAAAGCTTTGCTGATCTCGGATATGAATCACTATGAAAACCAATAAATGAATTCAGCTTTTGCGTACTACAGTCTCACCGACTATCAAACCTTTGCGCTCTGAGACGCCAGTGAAAATTGCTGTGCCACGTTCCGAACGAATTTTCACAGTGTCAAGTTTGTTTATATATTTTAAAAACTGTTAAAAGTGTGAATATCTTCGTGCGGCCATAAGTTATCCGGGATACCTCGGAACGTCGACTTGAGTTGCAAGAATGCAACGAATCGCTGAAAGATGGTACAAACAAATCCAAGTTCGGTTCAACCTAATTTCGAGTCTTAATACTTAAATTCTGACGTACCTCTAGATCATAATTAATCTTCGAGGACGATTCAAGAATCTGCGAGGAGCATCGAACAT